ACACAGTATTCGAGGTGCGGCCTCACCAGGGCCGAGTACAGGGGCACGATCACTTCCCTACTCCTGCTGGCCACACTATTTCTGATACAGGCCAGGATGCCATTGGCCTTCTTGGCCGCCTGGGCACACTGCCGGCTCATGTTCAGCCGGCATTCTCTTACAGTCCATTTCTTAGTTCAAAGATTAAATATTAGGTTTCATAGCTTACGTAGCTGCTCAGACACATTTCACTTCAAAAAGCAAAGTTAAAAAGAGTTTTGAAAATACCTTTAAGGCTTTACTATTCATATAGTTTTCTGAAAAACATTTGTCTTGGATTTTACTTTTGTCTTTTAAGTTTAATTATAACTTGCTTTATCCCCTCTCTTCTACTTCCTTAGCATAAAAAAATTGTCAATTTCCAAAGCTTTTGATTTAACTTTGTACCTGAAACATGAAAGACAAACCATGCCTGTACTCCAAGGTATGAATGAGCTGATTCCTATATACAGGCTCATGGAGAGGAGGGATATGGATGGTACAGCAAAACAGTTACAGGTAATATTTTAAGTAACTAGAACTTTCTAACTCTGCCTCTACCCTGTAAAATGCACTTTAAAATATATCTTCATTGTTACCTTATTTTAGGAGTATATAATCAATCTATTTAAAGACCTGATTGACAAGCAGTCTTGGAGTGATGAAGGCTCAGCGTCTGAGAGATTGCTTAGGCACTCGCTCCTGCTGTTTGCGTGTGTGCACAGGTACCAGCCGTGCGTGGACAAAGCCAAAGGATATTTTACAGAATGGCAAAAATCCAATGGAACCTTGAGGTCTGTTCTGTAACTATTACTGGTTTTTTTTCTGATACTCTGTTTAGTTACACTAGAGTTAATTTATGAAAAGAGCTAAACTTCAGTCCTTTCCACACTCTGAAGTTGAACCTTCTTAGTTTTGTATCTCATGCTTTAGCTTTCAAGTGCCTTTACAGTTTGGTGTGTAATATGTGCCCAAACTAGCACGTAACATCATGTAGTACTCCACAACTTGGGTTGTTACAGATGTTCTGAAAAGTGAAAATAACGTGTATTCCCTCATTTATGTGTCTGAAGATTGACTTACACCCGCTGTAAAAATAGGTAACTACTGTTCATGAACTTCACCTTATTTTTGTTTCTTGTCATGATGCAAGAACTTCCTAAAACACCCTCCAAAATGTCTCTGAGAGATTGTTCTGGGCAGGCCAAAGACGACCTTCTTATGTATCTGACTGGGCATAGCCATGGAAGGAATATACAAAAATAAAGAAGAAGAAAAAAAAAGAATGACAAGTCCAGAATAGGAACAGGAACAATACTGAGATACAGCCTGAGATGTCTAACTGTTTCCCAGCCACAGGGATCACTTTCTAATACCCCTGAGGGACCAGTATTTTTTAATAAATTGTCTGCTATGCCAATTGACATGTGATGGTGACATGGTTGTGTTTCTACATGTATTCTTAAATATGACATGGAGAATAACTTGGTATTCAATTTGTTGTAGCTTGCCAGCAGATGTGAAGACAGCAGTGTATGCTGTTGGAGCACAAACATCCGAAGGCTGGGATTTCCTCCTCAGTAAATACAGACTGCACTTGTTCAATGTAGAGAGAGAGAACATTGAATTAGCTCTCAGCCTCAGCAGAAGTAAGGACAAACTTCAGTGGTAAGTAGCTACAGAGAACAGAAATGTGTTTGGGGAAAATTTACGAACATTGAAACAGGAAATAGAATTATTCAGAGTCTTGTTTCATAGCTTTTGAAATTCGTGGTGTATAAAATGCTTTACAGAGTTAATACGGTGGGAGGAAGTGGTCGCACCTTTGCATTTCTGTGTTTTGGTGCCGGGAGTCAATGAGCTCAGAATTTGCAGTAGCAAGTTGGGACGAAATACAAGTAAACAGCTATTCAGATACCTTATCTTTGCTTGACAGACACTTTATTTACCTTTGTAGTTACGTTGATTATAGGTAGATATGCCGTACATCTCTTAGAAAAATTTGAGGTTTCCTGCTTTTAAGAGAGCCGAGGACCACTCAGTTTTTCAGGTGTCGCCTTCAAACCATGCATTCCGTGAACGTGATTTCTGCCATTTGATGGGGGTGACAGCATGGGACACTGATTTAACTGTGTTCAGGTATCACTGGAGACACACTTTAGCTGTATCATTATGTTATTATTTATTCTATGCATTGCAGTGCTCTTTGGACACCTTAGTCATGAGCAGCACTTGCAGGCCTGAATTTTGCACTGAAACTTAGTATAGAACAAGTACCTTTCTTACAGAGGGAGGAGCGAGGGTCATATTCATTTGGAAATTTTGAGTAGGAGCAAAATGTAGCCTAGTTTTTATCCTTAATATTCAGAATACAGGTCTACCAAGTAACTGTAATTGTGGAAGTAACAGAAATGGGAAAGATGGATGTGGCTGAGGAGTATGTTGTGAAAAGCTGGAAGTAACCCAGCAGAAATGATGCGTCAGGACCTTTGTCAGCTTTATCTACTGGTCTAAACAACTTCCATTTCTGTTACTAATTCTTAGGTTAATGGATCAAGGTCTGCGTGGTGACATCGTAAGAACTCAGGATCTTCCACATATTATTGCATTTGTTGCCAAAACCCCATCTGGCTGTCATCTAGCTTGGACGTTTTTAAAAGAAAATTGGGAGAAAGTTGTAGAAAAGTAAGGAACATAAGTTGTTTCACTGCTCTCTCTACCCAACTGTACTTTAAAACTCTACTTTCTACAAAAATAGACATTTTCTCAGTATAGGTGATTCTTTTTGCCAGATTTGAAGTCGGTTCGAATTCTGTAGCAAACATTGTCACTGGAGTGACAAGTCGGTACTCGACAAGGTCACAGCTTGCACAGGTAAGCCATTCGGATCCTGGTTTTAAAAAATGGTTGTAGCATAACTGAAATGAAAATTTGGATTAGATCTTAACATGGTAAAAGCACGACCAGTTATGAAGCATCAGGGCAATATCCTGCCTTTTCCTTGAAAAAGATTATAGCAGTGATGAGGTAGATTACTCAAGGAAGACCATTAAGTCACTGGCAAGGAGAAAGATGTTCTTTGTTTAAGCAGTGAGCTTGGAGGCAGAGTATGAATATTTGCCAAAGCATTTGTGGTTTACCTGCCTTCTACCCACTCTGGAAAGTAGTGAGTGGGGAAAAAAAAAAGTAGGTCTTTTCACAGAGCAGACAGAAGAGAAATGCTGAAGGACAGTGAGAAGTCATCTCACTGTTCTACATCTTCTATTCCGGGGAAAATTCTCCATGCTCCTGGATGTCACATATGATGGTCACTTTGTCTGCTTATTCCACAGTCTCTGTTGATGGTAAAAAAAAAAACAAACCCAAAACCAAAACCAAAAAACCCCAGACTGGTCAATGTGCAGATTTAATGGCATTCCTGACAGTATCTTTTCAGAAGCTGCTACTTTTGTTGCCAGTTTAAAATTTTGTGCTGTAGGGCAAAACACAGGCATAAGTAATGCAACCATATTAAAAATAAAATGAAACAATATAGAACGTAGTTCTTAATCTTCATTTTAAATCTGAGTGGACTCTCACAGCGTGTCAATAGCAATGTCTTGGCCAGCGGCACAGACTGCAGGGACGTTTCTGTGTCCTACCCAGAAATGTGGCTGCATCTCCCCTGGGGATCCATGGGACTTACCTATGAGTCTCTGAGCACAGACAAAGTCAGTGTAAGGTTGAGAGAGAAAATCCAGCAAGTCCCTTCCTTGCATCCTATTTGTATCTTTCTTGTACTTTGTACAAGTATTTGCATCTTGTATCATAGTCATCAAAGTACATTCTCAGAAAATGAGGAATTTACACAGTATGTAGTCACTGTAGCTTTTGAAACTATCTGTCTACCATGAACACCAACTCAAGTCTGAGGTTGTATTAAGTTTCCACAATGAGCCTTGTGATCAGGAGCGCCTCCTTTTAAAAAAAAAAAGAAAGCGAGGAAGGCAGCTGCCAACAGGTCCAGCAGCCACAGGTAATGCCGTGAATTCAAGGAGTAGAAGCAGCCTCCAGGTTTCCAGTGGCTGCATTCCCAAGTGCTTCAAGGATGAGACTAGTGGCTTCCCAAGCACTGGGGGAGTTGGAGGGGTTGGTTTTTGTTTTAGAGAACTAGAAGGAGGCACAGGCTTCCCTGTGTAGAGAAAACTTCTTAGGGTATTTTACCATCAGCACCGACACTACTGCTGCTCCTCCAAAAGCGTTGAACGAGTGGCTTGCAGGCAAATGTAGATGACTCTTACCGAGTCACTCTAAAAACAGCTGCAAGGCCTCCTGTCTGTCCCACCAAGTTTCCCGCCTCAGCAGGAACACCTGCTTCAGCTGACAGTCTGGGAGGTTAACCGAGCTTTGGGTGAAGGTGTGTTACGAAGCAGAGCAGCCATCGGGCAGAGCAGGGGATGCTCGGTCTCCCCGGTGACGTCCACATTGAAACGCTGCCGTTCTGCCTGTGGGTGTCTGCGGCTTAAATGGCCACAAGGGTTTGTTGAATGAGCAGGAACTGGACGGATCCGCCACAGGACGTGACAGCTCCTTCATTTTTTTTTATAATCTAATTCAAAATGTAATCTCCCTCAGCTTGTGAGAGCCAGCCACTATGAAACCTTTTTGAAAAACTGTTCTTGGGGTGGGGGGTGGGAGGGAAAGGGGGTGGAAGACCCAAGGCCAGGTTTGAGCGTCACAAATGTCTTGCTGGTCTTCCTCTGCACCTAAAGAGACATTGCTGCCTCTGCATCAACTGTTCTTTCACATTTTTGTCAACAGGTGAAGGAATTCTTCAGTTCTCTGGAGGAAAAAAGCGCACAGCTTCGCTGTGTCCAGCAAGCTATTGAAACCATTGAAGACAATATACAATGGATGGATAGAAATTTTGAGAAAGTCAAAACATGGTTGCAAAACAACCAGCTGTAAATTAAGGCACCTTGCTTGTATTTGTCAGAAATAACTGCAAAGCTGTGAAAATTCAGGGCTGGAGGGACAGCTCAATTGTATAAATTAGTTTCTTTGGAAGGAGCTGTAAGGCAGTCTAATGCTGCTGCTCAGTATTTTTCTCTCTCATGGTTGTGGTTTGCTGGGAACAGAACTACACCATCCATTGATCTCTCTCACCAGGTAACACTTTTAAGGGAAAAGGAACGTTGTACAGTGAACTAAGGCGTAGGGGAGGCTGACTGCTAGAAACCTGAAACACATTGCTTCTGGAAACTCAGAAGGTACTGGGAGACAAACAACCAAGAGAAACTTTCCACCTGCAAATGCTGACCCTTCCAGTACCGTTCCTAGGAAGGTACAACTGGCAGCTCTGTTTAACACTGAAGTGCACTGAAGCTCTGGAGCAAAGCCCTCTTTGCACGTCTTTATCTGTAGGGTTTATGTTTCCCAGAGAATAATTTTTACACCCCAAGTATCAACCGTAATTAAAATTGCATCTGTCAAAGTCAATATGGTAAGGACTATCTAGGCAAGCTTTACTGTAGTCTCTCAGGGCTGGAGGTAGCCGCAGTGGTGCGGATGCTGCGCAGGGGTGAGGCCGAGCCCCTGCTGCACTTCGGTCCCCTTGATGCCACCCTCTCCCAGGAGTTCTGCCTGACTCGCTTTTGTTGCTGATGTAAAGACTTTGCCTGCACTGGACATAATCTTGCGCTTTTAGGTAACATTCAGAAAATTAGTACATACATTTTGTGTGTGGGGAAAAAAAAAGAAATCAGTGAATTTTAGTTGCGATGATTAACCATCAGTTTATTTTAGCAGGAATTTTTGCTTTTAATTATCCCTTTTTCACCTAATTGAAATGCAGCTGTTGTTGCATGTAGTCACTGACATTTAAAAGGACAGTCAGTTGTTCACAATGGTCTTTATATCTTATCTGTAGGGTAACAGTAAGAATTGTAAGCTAATTGCTCTAAGGAGAGAAATTATTAGTATGTGCTCAGAAGGGACAATTACTTAAGAAAGCTAAGTTGAAATCTTGGAAGTGGGGTTGGTTGTTTTTTTGGTGGAGGGTTTGTTTTGTTTTTTACCAGGCAGTCATGACTGGCTGCCTCTGTTTACCCACAGAAAACTTTTATTTTGGTACTGAACTTTAAAAAAAAAATAAAAATAAAAATTCCATTTAAGCATGTGGTAATTAGTTGCACTTGATTTCTTTGTTCTTACAACCATGCCCTTGACATGACTCCATAGTGTTTATTTCCTCTGCAGTTCAGACCTGTCTCAGTTTCCTCACCAATATGCTGGAGCGTCCAGAAACTGTGACAAAGACTTAGGGGAAAAACGCATAATCTGGAACTAATCATAAGCTTTTGACTGTGCCTTGCTTGCTCTTCTCTCAACTAGAAATTATACCTGCCCAAGAAGTTGAAACCTACTTCATTAGAGTTGGGAAGGGCTGTTGAGTTGCTATTGAGGGTGAAAAACTCTGTCACAATGTTTTAGAAAATACCGGTTCCTTTCGCTTGCTGTATCCTTTTATATACAAGGCATCTTGTACCTCTTAACTCATTAAGGGAAGCAGGAATTCTGAGTAGGCTGTGCATCATGTGTACAACATTTTCTGGTATTTCAGGTATTGTTGCCTGTTGCTTGCTTTAAAACGTTTTCAGAGCTGAAAAGGCAATTTAACAAAAAATAAAATTTATTTACATGACTCTAGATATAAAGTACTTCATCTGTGTCATTTTGCACATTCATTTCTTTTGCTGTTGTGAGCAGTAATTTGCATTGCTGTTTTCCGCTTTAACTGCTTCATCCTTGTAGTACTCCTTGCCCTCCCCATGCCACAGCCCCCTTCTTGCTCCACCTCCCCCTTTTTCTAATTGAGGAAGCATCAATTAGCTGGGGTGTATCCAGATGCCTTGCAGCCCTCCCTACGGAACAACAGGAGCATCACAAACCGGTATGTTGATACGACGTTTATCTCAACAGAATAAATTTCGTTGATTGAGCTGTAATGAGCGGACACTTTGTCTTGCGTGCTGTGATGGAAGCGCGCCTGCAAAACCAGAAGCACGCCAAGACTGAACTGCTTATCTGCACAGCCCAGAGAGAACCCGAACAGATAGAGGGAAGCTGGGCAGGGTTCACATGCTTCATTAGAACACCGTTTGTTCTGTTGCCTGAGAATGACTGTTAATCATTCGTGTATCATATGTTTCAACAAAAATTCTAACTGGAATTTTGCAGCAAAATAATCACTTAGTTTCTGAGAACTCTTGTGCTTACGTCTTAATCTTTTAGCTGCTTCCCTACACAATGGGAGACCACAAGTTATTTAAATCTGGTCCTAGTTAACTGTGATACAGCTTTGAAAACCAAAGCAAGGGGAAAAAACTGTAGCTGGATCTTGAGCAGATTGTGAGGGCCTTCCTGAGGCATCACTCACAAGTATTTTGCAGGGTTTTTTTTAAACACATCATGTTCAGTTTTAATATACCAATGTTTGGGGTTTTTTAATTGTTTCTAGGGTTTCTTTTGTCTTGCAATAGCTATTCAGATAACAGCAGCAATAAATTAGAAGTTACGAACATCATAATGCATTCTTAAAAACTTTATTAGTGTGACACAGGTTCTCAGTACAGACTGCGAAGTACAGTCAAAAGTCTAAATATCCCCAACTTAAATCTCCGGGCTGTCTCTGTCTGCAATGCTACATGTCTGATTTTGGTATCAGTACAAATGCTGGTATGACCTTCCTCTGCAAGCTAATGATTAAGCAGTACATGTGTAAGGATGTGCAAAAAGATGTTCTGCAGGTTGTGAACTCAGAGAAAAACATGGAGGCACTTGGCACACTTCAGTCGCGACAGCCCTGTCTGCAGCAGACTTACGAGAGGTACCTACTCGTGCCTCTTCTCTTGCAGAGCAGGTGAATATGACATTGTTCTTTGCAGCATTAACTTCTGCCCTATTTCTGCATTCCCTTCTGGAGTGCGAGACCAGAAGCAAGGACTAGAAACAGTGCAAAATAAAATTAAAAAGAGTCTGCCTGTTGACCTGAACTTCTCTTTGATCTCTGCTAAGGCTCATACACCTTCTTTATTTCCTCTTCTGTGATGGTAACGGTGTCACTGTTACACCAGGATTTGTATTTGTTCAGTCCAGGAGACTCCTGAAATTACGAGATAACAGTACAGATACGATTGGAAATAAAAAAAAAAACAAACTAAAATCCTTATCTGGTGTATTTTTGTTGTTTTAACTACAGTTAAGGCAGCATCCAAACTACCTATTTTATTACTAGATGCGCTTGATGAAGCGGTTAATCCCCAGTTTCTCACTCTTTAGCTACCCTCAGCTTACCTATGGTTTCCTACAAGGAACTGGCTTAAGGAAAGTCTGCAAAGCCAGGCTGAGGATAACTAAAGCTCATTATATTCCAGAATACTTAATGCATTCACTGCGATGTTAAAAATGCTAGCACATACAAATTCTTCTGAGATTTACAGGCACTATGTGGAGACTATGTGCAAAAGTCTGCAGATTTTTTTTTTGGCATTGCTATTCATTTATGAAATATATTTATTGCAAATATAAAGCATTCTTTCCCTCTGAAAACTGAATAAAATTAGAAAAGAGTCAAAGTATAGGAGTATAATAAAATGAATGGCTAGGGGAAAAAAAAAAAACCACCTTAGGCTACTACTGGGAAAAAAGAAAATATGAAAAAAGTCCAGCAAGTATCACTGTACAAAAACCACCCAGAATAACCACATGCTTTTTGCATCAGCTTTTGTTCTTCAGGAACAATTATCCACCAACAGAAAGAAGATGTTTTACATGATGTGTCAAGATCCTGGGGGGAAGAGAAAGAAAAAAAAGTCAAGAGTGCTTATCTTCTTAAACTTGGAAAAAAAAATTCACAGAATAAATCTGGGAAGAATTATTGAAACACGAGTCTAGTGTCATAAAGAAATCCAGGAAGACTTAATATCACAAGAGATTAGGTATTGTTTGAAAGTGATACTGCAGTGAGGATAGCAGTCCACTGCAGACATGCAGCAACAATGCATCTTTGTCTCACCCATTTGAACTTGGTTGCCAAACGTTCTGTCCTGGTTTCGGCAGGGATAGAGTTAATTTTCTTCCTAGCAGCTGGTACAGTGCTGTGTTTTGGATTTAGTATGAGAATAATGTTGATAACGCACCGATGTTTTAGTTGTTGCTGAGCAGTGCTTACACGAGCCAAGGACTTTTCAGCTTCCCATGCTCTACTGACTGAGCAGGCTGGAGGTGCACAAGAAGCTGGGAGGGGGCACAGCCAAACTGGCCAAAGGGACATTCCATACCGTGTGACGTCTTGCTCAGTACATAAACTGGGGAAAGCTGGCTGGGGGGGCCGCTGCTCGGGGACTGGCTGGGCATCGGTCGGTGGGTGGTGCCCAACTGCATTGTGCATCACTTGCTTTGTATATTCTTCTTATTGTTATTACTATTATTATTATGATTTTATTTTATTTCAATTATTAAACTGTTTTTATCTCAACCCTCGAGTTTTCTCACTTTTACTCTTCCGATTCTCTCCCCCATCCCACTGGGGGGGGCGGGGGAGTGAGCGAGCGGCTGGGTGGGGCTCAGTTGCCCACTGAGGTTAAACCGCACCTTCACAGGGGATTTCACTCCATACAATTACTCATACTCTCAGAGGAGCCAGGACTGCCTCTGCAGTCAGAGGAGAGAGGCTCCTCTGCAGGTTCTTCAGAAAGCCAGAACTCGGACCCTCCTGGCTGGCACACGGGAGGATGGAGCCCGGTGCTGGACGTGCCCTTGCCTCTCTTCTCCACACCCCAGGAAAAAGCCTTCCGGTGCGAGGCACTTGTATCAAGTATCAAAGTGTAGTTACGTGAATACTTCCATGAACTAATGATGATGATGAAAGACTCCAATTACTTACTCTTATGTTAAGGGTGTGATCAAGCTAAGTACAAAGAAGTACACGGTGGCAGCGGAATATGTGCACAGACCAAGGCTGTATTTGTGCCAGGAAAGCTGAGAGCAGAACGCTGAAGCCTGCTATACCTGCCAGCTTAGCTGTAGGGCTTTTTATATCTGTTTGGGGCGCTGTTCCAAAATTAGTCACATAGTGATGTAAGCTCACTGTCCTGAAGTTAAAAACAACCAGTTGAGATGTGCTTGGTCTTCATTACTCTGTAAAAACGTCTTACTGGGGAAGCAGTATGTCATGCCACATGAACCTAGAGGAATTCAGCTACATGAAGTAACTCTGTACAAACTGTATGGACAAAGGGTGTGAAAAAAAAGTAAGGCCTTTTCTGCCTAGGAACACTGAAGTTCAAAGTCATTCCAAGTGTAGTGTCTAACAGCACCTCTAACCATGTCTTGGTTCACTTAAAAGACTGTCAACAAAACTTAGCTTTAATAACACCAGCATGAGTTGTCTTTGTGGTAGTTCAGAGAATAGAAAGGAAGAAATCTCACCCAATGGTGTTAACGTTTAGCTTGTTTTCTGCTTCTCAGATTTGCTGCTGGAGGACTGTCCCTTTGCCTAAACAGCAAGAGAAGCATGAGATAGTATGAAACTGTGCACTAAGCTAAAATCTGAAATAAAACAGTGACAGATACTCATCAGAAGTCATCACAGTTCAAACATAAATATGATCTGCGCTTGAAATAGAGAAAGATACAAACAGTATTTGTATCTTCTGTTGTGTATATATATTTTAATTTTTCCACCATCACTTACTTTGTTTCAGATAAAGAGCGCTGTTGCTGACCTCTTCATACCCTATTTCTCAACATCTTTTTACCCATGCTAGTGATCCAGTCACAACTCAGAACATCAAAAAATACATCCTTCTGAAGAGGAGTTAAAGACACCCCCCCAATTTTACACCAAAAATTGTAAGACTGTTCTGTTGTTACACAAAAGGCATGTGTGGCAATTCCATAATAAAGAAAAAATCCCATCACTTGAAACATAAAATTTCTAGAGCAGATGTTACCATCTGATTCAGGCATCTACATGAACGCATCTTGTGAGAGAACAATGTGATGGGAAAAGTTTCACCCTTACCTAAATCCTTTATCTGTATTTCTGACAAAAGCCAAGCAACTTTTTTTTTTTTTTCAATATAGAAACAACTGCCTTCCTTTTCCCACCAGATTAATTCTGTGTACTTCTTTATGAATATATGTAGGTTTTCATTCATTTTTTAAAAAATAGATTATGATAGTAACTTGAGAAAAGTACGTGTGGTTGAAGGAGTTACATTCTAATCAGTTTTAGAATGCTATTATTTAAAACTGTCAAGAAAAGAGAAAAGTGACAGGGATCCCAAGGCAGCTATAGGCATGTGAAGTGTGACTCAGATCAGTAAATATGGGAATGAGGAGCCTGTGGAGCATGCGCTGAGCCCCCTGTAGAAGACCACACTCTCTCTGAAAGAAACATATTTTAGCTCCCATTCACTGAAAATTTCCCTTGAAACAGACAGGTTTTTTTCTCCCGTTTTTGTAAGCATGTACATAGATCAAGTTCAACCTATTGATGTAAAATTCTACCCAAAGTAGTATCTATGTAATATGAATCCAAAATCCAGTTGCCCATCCTTCATGTTTATAGTGTATGATAACCATGACTGTATTATAATATGTATGTTTCTACCGTTTTAG